GGGTAACTTGCTGACATTATCCTCCATCGGGGAAGTGGTCCGTCAACAACAATGACTCCCGGTGAATGCCAAGACGGACGAGCAATCGAGATTCCGTTCACGTCTGGTCCGACGATCCGGTCGGCGCGGACTCACACGACGAATGCGATGCCTCATCTGATGCATCGTATCGGGGCGATGCACCGTTTCATGTGTGCATAGACGCCATGATGTATTCATGGAAGCGATAGAGATGGCCAATAAACTGGAGCACGTGCCCGCCGCCCTCTCGCCATTATTGTCCCGGTTGCCATGGCAACGCTTAGAGTGACTCAGCCCCGGCCGAGCGTAGTATCATCTCATTCCATCGCACGGGTGAATGTGGACCGGGGGGAAAAGGGGGAAATGGGAAGGGGGGAAGGGGAAATTGGAAAGGGGGAAGGGGAATTTTCTTCGGTCTCACTTTCCCTGTAGAGAAAAAATCTCCGTGGAATCTTCATAATTCAGTCTCTCGTGCTCGGATGAGGAATTGAAATGATTAAATATATATTAATTAAATTATGAATGAAAAGTAGCTGGGTGAAAGGAGGCTGATTGAATGCCTTTCGGAGGGCGTCGGCTCTCGACCAACAAAGTTCCCTAAAATAGTTCTTCCTTTTCAACTCCGAATCGATTAGGATTTTCTGCGTGTCCAACTTTTTTTTTCCGGAAAAGAAAAATCGATTTCTTTGTTCAAAAGCGGCAAAAATTTCATTGTATGCAAAATTTGTAAGGGTGAGGCGTTTTACTTATCTGCAAAACCATTAATTAATTAATTGATTAATTTATTGATGTTCTGATTCCCCATGACCCGCTTCCACCCGACCCGATTCTCCATTTTCTTTTTCGTTCTTTCGGCTGTCTTGACGACTGCTCCTGCGTTTCTTAGAAATATTTTTCTCATTTTTTATTCCTACTTTATCTTATTTAAAAAAAAAAAAAGATTCACCACTTGAATATTTTCCTGCTTTGTTATCCCAGCATTTCCTCCATCGCCCTCCTATTTTCCTACTTATATATATTATTTATTTATTTATATATAAAATATAGTGGAACTTCCCGCTGGGGATGATGTCCCGGAAGATCGCCTGCGCCCTGGCGGCCGGCTGCACGTGCGTGGTGAAGCCAGCGGAGGACACGCCGCTCACGGCTCTCGCCTTCGCCTCCCTCGTCGTCGAGGCCGGCGTGCCCCCCGGCGTGATCAACATCCTGCCGTGCTCGCGGATCCGCGTCCAGGGCGTCGGGAACGCTCTCGCGAAGCACCCGCTCGTTCGCGTCCTCTCCTTCACCGGGTCCACGTCCGTCGGCAAGGTGAGTGCCGTGTCGTCGTGCCGTGTCGGCGTGGCGTCCTCGACAAGCTGTGCTTCCGTAAATGAAAAAAAAGAGTCATCTTGGAAAATGTAGCAATAATAAATGGACTAATATTTAATGAGGGTTTGATGTAGGAGGTTTACTCGGAAATCGGGAAAATGAAAGAATTCAATGAGAAGGGAGTGAAATTAGACTTTATCCAAAAGTTTATGAGGGAGATGCCGTTTGTGTATGTTATGTTGAGGGCGTGGCGGTGAGGCATCAGCGCCATCACGGTTAACATTTTCAAGGAATTACACGTATGTATCAATAACTACGACGCGATTATTGTGCGTTCCGAGTGGAATTTCTTTTTTTATTTGCGTAAAAAAAAATGGTCGTGGCAACAAACGAGTAGCCATTATCGCGATAGAAGCACTCGACAAATATTGTTCTAAGAAGACTCTATCGCCCTCTCTCCGACCCACTTAACCGCTCGGTAACCTTCCGGTTTGCAGTGGCTGTACGAGAGGTGCAGCTCGGGGGTGAAGCGCCTCAGCCTGGAGCTGGGCGGGAACGCGCCCTTCATCGTCTTCGATTCCGCGGACATGAACGCGGCGGTTTGCGGGCTCATGATCGCCAAGTTCCGCAACACGGGGCAGGTGGGTTTCGCGATCGCCGGGATTTACATTTTATGTTCATTTCGGTCAGATGAACGAATTCGTTCAGAATTTCATTAAACGTTTTTTATAAATATATTTAACATAAAATTCCAAATTTTTTATTCATAAAATATGTTTTAATCTTAAAATTCTGCATTTATTTTACTTATTTTTGCAGACGTGCGTTTCCGCGAATCGGATCCTCGTGCAGGAGGGAATCTACGACGCCTTCGTGGAGCGCTTCGCCGACGCCATGGACCGGGAGCTGGTCGTCGGTCACGGCCTGGAACCGGGGGTTAACCAGGGTCCGATCATAAACCCGAGGCAATTCGCCAGGGTGAGCGCTTGAAAGAGAGATCTGCGACCGGATTAGTCGGAATCTCTAATCTCGAAAAAGCATTCCGAAATCCATCAAGGTAATGGAATCGTCCGCGGGGCAGCTTCTCGACTTCTGATGTCGTCCCGTTCGAAGGGGGGGCAAGGGGGGGTGGGGGGGGGAGAGTCCGGGGGGGGGGGGGCGATCGATAGCTTTTGACGTTTTTCTTCTTGATGAAATCTGGAAGCTTCGTATCGCGCTTCCTTTGCTACTACGACAGGCCTTGATTTTAAGGTTTCATTCGTCTTTCATTAGTCCTCGATAAGGATGCAATCAGGG